GGCGGGAGCCGGGTCGCGGCGCCGTGCGGGGAACTTGGCGGGGGAGCCGGGAGCGCGCGGCGCGCCGGCCGCTTCGCGCTGCCGCTCATTCATCTCCCGAGCGCCGCGTAAACAGCCCCCCGCGAACCGAGCGCCCTGCCAGCCCTTGCCGAGGGGAAGCTCTGCTTAGGAAATAGCCGCCAAACGGTGATTTTAGGATATTTTTTAAAGTTAAAACCACGCTTTTGAGTCGGGTCTTCTGAGTTTTAGTGCAACCGGCGACAGATCACCTTCTATTTCTACTGACATTGCTGTCCTCGCTCAATTATTTGGTATTTGCACGTTCCGTCAAGTACGTTTGGCTTAGAAACTATGACTTTGAACTTTTTCATTTAATCATGATTAATCCCGTGTGGTACGCTTATAATTTAAGCCGACTTGTAAATCCGTATGGAGGGATGTGAGCTGAGAATTTTTGTGGCGTGCTTGATTAGAGTTTGATGTTAGCAAACTTTTCAGCACTTAAGTTATAGCTTGCCCTGGAAGCAGCTGAAGCCTTATAGGGCCTAGTAATCATCAGGCAATCTGTCAGAAACATCTGCACACTTCCAAAGTAGATCTCTGGGAGGTATATTATGGGAAAACTCTTCAGGTGATTGGTTTGACCCCAGAGTTAAGGGATTTTGATGCATTTTTGATTCTTTTTCAGAAAAAGAGCAACAGGAAGCAATTGAACACATTGATGAAGTACAGAATGAAATAGACAGGTAAACATTAAGCACTTTTAAAGTTTGTTTTTAGCATTTTTTTAAATTAAAAATTCTTATTAAAATAAATATTTCTTACTAGTAGATCTCACTTTTCAAGTTCCCCCAAGATGTACTTATGTTTGACCTGGTTAAATATAGAGGGTATTTGTGTGTGACTCTAAACTTCTGTAACACTCTCTGATTTCTAGTTTAACTCTGTGTAATTTAAAAAGTGAAACTTGATTTAAAATTATAAAGTCACTGTGACGGTTTAAATGAGAGATCTGCTTCTTCAGGTTAACACCTATGCTCTTTCACCAAAAAGTCTTAATCTTTGTGAACAGAACAGAGCATTCACTTTAAAAATATATATTTTTTAATATTTTTATTGTGCACTCCTGTGCTTATAAAGTAATATGTAGAAAATATCACTGGAGCACTAGTTCTGTATCTGAAAACTCTGGGTTCTATGTTTGATGGATCTTATTTCCATGCACAGTGTCCTAGAGCAAGTACTGCAAGTACTAGGGCTCTGACCATATGAAGCAGCTGAAATATCAGGGCTCTACCTTTTTAGAAAACCAGTTACATGTTACATTTTAAGGTTCTACTTGTGTGGGTTGGAAGCTTTCTTTGCTTGAGTCATGCTTACCTGACCAAAAGTTATAAAGAGCAGATGATAAGAGTTACACACTGTCATTCTACAGGTATTTTACAGAGAAAATGCTTAAGAGCTAAGGGTTGAATCCTTTATGTCATACTAGTATTAAGAATGCTTATTTAAAATAATTAGACTGCTTCTAGTAGTTTTTGGGGGGAGTTTTAGTAGTGTTTACTGGTTTGGGCCCCAGGTTTTTGTTTGACAGCCCTCATTTGTTGAGCATGGCTGCCTAGTTTAATAGTATCATCAGTAGTTAGCTGAAAACTGAATGTTTAGATTTTAGTGCTCTCTCCTGTGGCACTGCGACTAACGTATCTATCTCTATTGTAGACTGAATGAACAAGCCAGTGAGGAAATTTTGAAAGTAGAACAGAAATACAACAAACTCCGCCAACCATTCTTCCAGAAGAGGTCAGAATTGATCGCCAAAATCCCAAATTTCTGGGTAACAACATTTGTCAACCACCCACAAGGTATATTCTCAATAGGCTGTAGCCTTTTTTTTTTTTTCCCTCTCCCTGTAAATTTTATTTCAGTGTTTGCTTGCTTGTTGTGTTGAGCCTCTTAGCTCTGAGGGTGTTCAGAGTTGTCACTCAGCACACATTGACAGAGAAGGCTGCTTTATATGCAAACACTTCTTGTATTAGAGTTTGTTTTTGTAAGTCTTACACCTTTTGCATTTGTTAGAAGGAACATCTTGATCACTAGAATCTTATGGTAGTTACCTTCCTCCCCTATTTCAAGCAACAAGTTTCCTGCTTTTCTCCTTTAGCTAACTGTTTTAAATATAAATATATAAATATGTATATTTGGAGGGAGTTGGTTTGGTTGGGAGGTGAGCCACTTAGTCAGGACTAGTGATAACTGTTTGAGGAGGCAAAAACAAGACTGTAGATTGCTTGGATTGGGCAGACCTAGGTCTAAGGGTAGATGTATTCAGAAGCTTTTGCTGCCTTTTTAATGTTGTACTGCAGCAAGCAAACATAATCTTTTCATCTTAGCACGGTCACAGAAATTAGAGTGGTTTCTTGGTTACTGTTCTATCCCTTTTTTAGGGACAGGGCAAGTTGCATCTGGCAAGTATGTGTTTTTTCACATACATACATGTGCTTAGAGTTAATTTATAGTTCATCTGTGATGAAAATTTCATAACTTTGTTAATGCAAGATTACTCATTTTGGTTTAGTATCTGCACTGCTGGGAGAAGAAGATGAGGAGGCACTGCATTATTTGACCAGAGTTGAGGTGACAGAATTTGAAGATATCAAATCAGGTTACAGAATAGATTTTGTAAGTATATTAAGTATTCTTTCACTTGCAGGTTTTTTTTGCCTCTTTTTTGAACATAATTGCATATTAGGCCATAGTTTGCAATACAGTCTCTTTAGTTAATCCATGTAGTATTTGATTTAACTTAGTTTATGTTTACCTGGTTTCAACTCTTCGCTTTCAATTCTGCAGTATTTTGATGAGAATCCATACTTTGAAAATAAAGTTCTCTCCAAAGAGTTTCACCTGAATGAAAGTGGAGACCCATCTTCAAAATCAACTGAGATCAAATGGAAATCCGGGAAGGTATGTGTATGCCTTTGGAAGAGATAATAGCTGCTCTACGTAGTACAGCCATTTTCACCATTATGCTTGTTTAGGCAGTTGATGCAGACTACTTTGTTTTCCCTTCTACAACCTGTTCACCACATTTTTACATGCACCGTTTGTGCCTACCTTGTGGATTTGGAATATACTCTTTACATGGAGAGCTGTAGCTAATTCTCTTGTTCAGTCTAGCACCACCAGTGAAAGTAAAAGTGTGACCAGATGGAGAGATTAATGATTACATCAGCTTCTCTCTTTAGAGTGGATCTAGACAGTGGGTGGTGATGTTTCCTTAATACAATTGTTAAATAAGGAATTGTTAGGGTAGCAGGGCTGGGGGAGAGGTCAGGGTGTGGTGTCTGGATTTTTTTTTTTTTTTTTAATTATTCCCTCCTTCCAGACACCACATCTTGGGCCAAGTTGCAACCACAAGATAATGTGGGTATATCTCTTTTGAATGCTAGATAGTATTCAAATAAAATTAATTTTCTGTAGTTAAATTCCATAATAGTTGGGAGCACTTTCATGTCATCCTGAAGGTTTTGAAAGGATTGCTTAAAAGTAAAAACTGAGGGTTGCAGTTAAACTGCTGCTTGTTTTGTCACCCTCAGACCAAGAAGAAAAAAAATCATCTTTTTTCCTTGAGAACTAGAACTTTCCCAGAAGTTACAGTCCAGTACGACCTAACTGAATGATCTTTACAACATACTGCAAAATTCATGCAAATTCTGGTATTGTCCTTCATTAAACAATGTAAACTTAAAAGTGTTAAAATTGTATGGAAAAATCAAATATTAGAAGTTTTGAAATATTGTATGATCAAAGAAAGCATGGATTAAAATAGTAGCTAGTAATAAACTTCCCGGATTTGAGGGAACACACTGGTGAAAACATACCAAACTTCTGGGGTATGGTGGCAGGTGGTAGAGCTCACTATACTTGTGACCAGATGTTTTTGTGCTGTGTGGTGGTCTGTATTTCCTGCAAAAAAAATGCCTGAAAATTTCAAAAGGATAAAATCTTAGGATGAGTAGCATAGGAAGTTCTTCATCCCAGTGTTGAGCTAGATGAAGACTGAGCTTAGATGCCTGCATACTGAGTGCTTCTTCAAACGTATGTATATAATAGTTGAGTATTTAGACTTTGAGAAGTCGTAATATTAATTCATTTTTCACTTGTCACACTTACATTTTCATATGCAGAAGCATAAATAAAACTCGAGGTCCTATTGAGTTTTCAGTGTTTCAGTGGAGGCCGTTAAAGAAAGCGGATGTGTTTTTAATGTTGTTGGGACCTGTTCATGAGAAATGCAATTGGGTCATGCGGCTGTTTCATGTCTTTTGCTGGGAGTCCTTTGGGTCCCCAATGTTTCCTAAACGTTTTTCCCTGAAAAGGGAGTAAATGACTTCCTGTGGTTATTTAGCCAAGTACTTTTCTAAATGGTGCCTTTTGGAGGGAGAAAAAAAAATGCTATGTAGAGAGCATTTCTTAAGGGAATTTCTTCACTTTCTTTCCAGGATCTGACAAAGCGTTCAAGCCAGACACAGAACAAAGCCAGTAGAAAGAGGCAGCATGAAGAGCCAGAAAGTTTCTTTACCTGGTTCACTGACCACTCTGATGCGGGGGCTGATGAACTAGGAGAAGTCATCAAGGATGACATCTGGCCAAATCCATTACAGTACTACTTGGTAACTACAGCACCGAGCTGCTCATCCGTAGCCGTGATAGCACTGTGCGAGTAAAACTGAACTTGATCACTGTAGTTAATGTTGCATATGTGTCTTTAAGGTTCCTGATATGGATGACGAAGAAGGGGAGGGAGAGGAGGATGACGATGATGATGAAGAGGAAGAGGGATTGGAGGATATTGATGAAGAAGGCGATGAAGATGAGGGGGAGGAAGATGAAGATGATGATGAGGGAGAGGAAGGAGAGGTGAGCCTTGTCATCCCTCATTTCCATTTCTCTGGTCTATCAGAATAGAGCCCTCTTTTAAGAACAAGTAATTGTTTCAAAGATAAGGTAGTTCTTTTCATTCTGTACAACCACTTGTAAAGTTTTTCGGGAGGTGAAACAGAACTGTTATTACCTTAAATTCCAGTGTAGAGAGAAGAGTGTGTGTTTGCGTGAAAGTGCAAATCAGTAGTCTTCGTAAACTTAGAAGGAAAGTGCTCTAGGAGAATTGGAATATTAATGTCCGGTTTAACTTAATAAAGTTGTTGTTAACTGCTGAACATTCTAGCAAGACTTCTAATTAGCTTTTATTGATGTGTCTAGTTCTGTCATCCTCCCACCTATTAGTTTATTTTGGTTTATTGTCAGCTATATATGAAATCCGTCTCTGAGTTCAGGATTTAAAAATTTCCTTTAGTAGTAAGTTGGATTCCAGAGACAAGATGTTAGTAAAACAAAACTTAGAACATTTGTTCCTGGTAATTGGACATGATGCATCTAAATTTCAGTAGCAAAAATACTTTTATTGAGATAAGGGGGTATTCTACATGCTCTTTGAATGAAAAATATTGGGATATATTGTATTAGTAAGCGTGTTAGCATCTGAAAGATGAATTATTTTACAGAGTAATTTCAAAGTCCATTATTAACTGACTCCTATGTAGATACTCACAGAAAGTGTCGCTACTCTTTAGCGAAGAGGGAGAGAGATCAACTTTACAGCCTCCTATGAGGCTATAGCCTCTAGGGTAGCAAAACATTTCTGGTTATTGCCTCTGAAAGTCAGCATTATGCAAGTTCGGTGATCATATTTTTAATTGTTGCTTATCTTTCAACAGGAGGATGAAGGAGAAGATGACTAATAGAACACTGAGGGATTCCCCCCCCCCCCCCCCCCCCCTTTTTACCTTTTTAATTTTTCTCCAGTCCCTGGGAGCAAGTTGCTGTCTTTTTTTTCTTGTGCTCAGTCGCCTTGTTCTCTTGAGGTCTCTCTTTCTCTCCTCTACACCATGGTTCACAATTTATTTTGGGGGAAATACCTTGAGCAGAATACAATGGAGAAGAATACCAGTTTCTGTTTCAAGTTCCTTTTTATCCCTTTCTGTCGCAAAACAAAAACTGTTTATGGAATCAACACACCATGTTCTGTGGGAAAAAAGAAAACCTTCTGCTCCCTTCACTCTGCTGGAAGCTGAAGAGTGCTAGGCCCCTGTGTAGTAGTGCATAGAATCTAGCTTTTTTCCTTCTTTCTCTGTATATTGGGCTCAGAGATTACACTGTGTCTCTATGTGAATATGGACAGTTAGCATTTACCAACATGTATCTGTCTACTTTCTCTTGTTTAAAAAAAAGAAAAAATAAAAAAAAAGGGGTTATAGAAGGTCTGCGGGGGTGGGTTTCAGATGTTTGGGTGGGTTAAGTGGGCATTTTGACAACATGGCTTCTTCTCCTTTGGCATGTTTAATTGTGATGTTTAACAAACATCCTTGCAGTTTAAGATGACACTTTTAAAATAAAATCTTCTCCTAATGATGACTTTGAGCCCTGCCACTTGATGGAGAATCAGCAGAACCTGTAGGATCTTATTTGGAATTGACATTCTCTATTGTAATTTTGTTCTTGTTTATTTTTAAATTCTTTTTGGTTTATTTTTGGGTTTTTTTTTTGTTTCACTGGAAAGGAAAGAAATGCTGAGTTTTAAACGTTAAAGTGTACAAGTTGCTTTGTTACAATAAAACTAAATGTGTACACAAAGGGACTGATTGGTCTTCACTGAAAGAAAAGTTTTTAATAGCCTGTTTTGAACTTGCTTATAGTTTCTTGGCTTTTTCTGGCATTTGGTCAGGATTTGTGTGTTGTGAGGCAACCTTATGGCTCCATGAACTGATCATCAGTTAAATTAGTTTCTATTATTTCAGTACTTGGAGAGTGTTTCATTTGGTAGTTAATGCACATTCTGCTTCTCTTGAATTGCCCAGCTCTTTAAGGCAGGGCCGTGGTTGCATGTCTTGTGTGAAGGTAGATGTTTATACTTGGATTTTGCAACAAGAAAAATCACTTGCTTTGTTTTAGTAGCAATGTGCAGTGCTGTATCTCCAGTAAATGAACAAAAAAGTTGTGTAGGCTGAAATTGAAAAGAGTGAAGATTGGAGGTTCCCCAGTAATATTTTTGTTTTCTCTTGTTATAAGTCTTCTCCGTTGGAAATCTTAAAGTATAAGCTAATCCGTAGGCTCTTTTAAAAGAGCAAAATTCTTAGTGATGCCTATATTACTATAAGGAAGCCACTACTTTGCTGCTTTCTTTCCTTGGTATCAGCCTGTATACATGCCTTAGTTAAACTGGACTTATAAGGAGATGGCATTTGAATAAATGTTAAGTTCTAACTTAAAAAAAAAAGTTAAGTTAGAATTTGTTCATTCTAATATGCACAAAGTGCAATGAAACTTATTTTACCATGCTGTGCAATTGAAAATATTTAAATTGTTGTATCAGCTAATCTCAAATAGCTAGTTCTCTTTGGGTGTGTAGAGAAGACTGTCTTCTAGGAAGACTTGCTGTTATATTTTGTGTCCTCCTTCTTCCCAGAACTTGCTATAGTCAAACACAACCTTTTTGGGGGCACTTAAGAATGTACTTTGCAAAATAAGATTAATCTCTATTTGAAGCATGCCCAAGTAACGGGGGGAAGAAGTGTTCTGTACATGCCTGATCCAGGTTTGGATGCAATCCAGTTGTCAGAGACAACCCAATGTCTGTATATGATCAATGCAAAATGAGACAAGCATCTACTTCTTTTCTTTTTCTCCATCTCAGCAAAAGCTTCTGCTCTTGATCTTGCAGCATTCAAAGTAAAATGCTAAGCGGGAAGAGTTTCCTACTATCTACAGAGAAAGAATTAAAACTATGAAGTCTATTAAATTTAAATTCCTTTTCATTTAATTATTCTTTGATTTTTCTTGAAGTCCACTCTCTGTTGTGGTAGAGGGTAAATGCACTCTTTAGTTGCTGTCATGCATCACAAATGTCACTTATGTGACTATTACATCTATGTAATCCTAATTGATTGCAGTTCTTGAAGGAAAGAAGCTTTTCCTAGCCTTATTTTAATGCTTTAAGGAAAATACCATGCCACAGTTGTTACAGCCTTCTCCCTCATTAGCACAAACCTATGAAACTGTTTTGAAAGTAATCAAAGCTTCATGTTCTGTTATGAATACCACGGTCAAGAAATGAAAATACTAACCAAGTGCTACATTTTAGACTCTTAAGACATTTTTGAGGACTTTACAGGGATAAATCACTCTTGCTGGTGTACTGATAATACAGAAATTCCTGTGAATCTTCTACATTTACTCCTAGCAATAGCTAAAGAGTAAACTTTTAAACCATATTTGTTACGTGCAAACCTTATTTTCTGGCAATTGGAATGAGTAGTAATTGGCAAATTTCTCTGCAATGCTGAATTATTACAGTTGGTCATCATGTGCTCTGACTCTTGGCTTAATGTCTAATTTATCTGAATATATGTAATGAGTACTCACTACTGATATTAATTTTTATATGCATATAAAAGCATTTAAAGATAGAACTTGCGCTTTGGGTAAGAAAGGAGGGGAGGAGTCACTCGGATTAAACATCCATCCCCAATTTCCCAGCACGGCTTGAGCTCCTTGCATCCAGTAATCCTGTTGAATTAAACTTGACACACCTGGAAGTTGATTTCAATTTTCAGGATATAGAGAAGGAGGCAGTTTGATAAAGATTAAGCTATTGTGTTGGGGCTGTATGATTTAAGCTTCAAGCTATTTTTAAATCCGAAGTTTAATCACTATCAAATGGCATATTTTGCCTGTAATTTCTTGCCAAAGGCAAGCAAATATATCCATGGGTATGTAAATACAGTTAGAAAGGTTTTTTTGTTTGTTTTTTAAAGACTCTCTGTGTGCTTATTTGTAGTTGTTGACGGTTTTTGTCCTTGTGAACAAGCATTATCTGAGTTGATTTCTGTCACTTATGCCATTCATCCGAATTTGTAAGCTTCTGTTTGCTCTACTTTAAATCAGGTGCATAAAGGTAACACTTTGTTTATCCAATAGTAGTACTCCTGACTTTTGAAAGCATGCTTTTGTTTTCCAAAAGAGACAGAACTGAATGAAAAGAAACATATTTCTCTGATGTACGTTCAAGCTCTCTTCCTGGTTGAAGGAATTAAAATGCCTTTAACAGTTATTTGATGTTACTGTTTCTAAGATTTTTTTTCTTATTCCCAATAGAGTGAGTCAAGCCCTCTATATTCTGTATTCCTTTTTATGGGTGACCCCAACAGTGTTCACTTCTTACGAATTTCAGATGCCCACCATGGTGACGGTGAGAGGAGGTCACAAGTGATTTCTGGAACAAGCAGCTTCCTCTAGGAGCAGATTTGTGCTTAATCTCTTGCCCTCCCTTTCTTGGATTGAACTGGAACTTTCCAAGACTTTCCCTAGATCATCACCCTGTCCTCTGACCGAATGTATGCCAGCAGCAGCAGGAGTCATCTAAGACGTACCTCCCAGATGGGGCACAAAGGGGAGTCATTGGAGGCATCAAGGATTTTGGCAGCACCCGCCTGACGAGAGCTGCGGTGGTAGCGTTGTCTTCTCGGGAGGCTCTTTGGCTGTTTCCAGTTTGTTCCCTAGCAAAGAGTCCCTGATCTCCTGTTCCCTATGTGAGCGCTCAGCACTGCTGCCCCACTAGAGCTGCTGAGGCCAATATGCGGGTGGGCAAGTGCCTGCTCTGTCCAGCAGCTGGAGTGCAGGGCTGGTGAGTCCAAAGTGGCTTCTGAGTGGAATTTCCCTTTCCCGCCCTTGGCTGAGGAGGCAGCTCCACGAGGCAAGGGCATCCTTCAGCACTTGCCAGCCGGCTGGCAAAGCAGTAGGAGGAGGAAGAGCCAGGCGGCTGCTTGGCACTTCCCAGGGGTGACACTCCTTGTCTGTGGGACGGAGAGCCAACAGGGGGGAAATGCCGAACCCACGAGCCAGCTGCCTCTGTGGGAGCTGCAGAGCCTGTTACAGAGAGCAGCAGGTTCCAGAGGGATTTATAACAGTAAGGGCTTGTGCTGGGCTATATGGGCTGGGCTCCGAGGCATCTGGGATCTCCCACTTCGTACGTTCAAGGCACTTTATTAATGACGGCAGCATGTTTAAACATTTATAGAAACCCCACACCTTTTCAGCCAGATTAAGCTAGATTTTCTTCTGGTCATTTCTTTTTATTAATAAAACTTACTTGCAGAGCATTTACAAGCAGTTATGTTAGAGAAACCTGCTCTAAATAAATCAAAAGAAAACACTTGTGTTTCCAGGAATATTTTTCAAGGTGTACGTGTGAGAATAATATTAACTCAGGATTGCCTTCTGCCTTGGAAGTCTGTTTTTCTCTAGACCAGAAAAAGTCTGTCACTACAATAACAAGTGACATTATGTAATATTGCTGGGGAGGGATTTTAGAAGATATCTGCAAGCAACAAGTATTTTCTTCCCCCCTTTTAAACACTGAGCCTATGACACACAGCATATCAATGTTGTGTGACATTATGACATTACAGCAGCGGGTGATTATTTATTTATACTTTTTTACTCACGTTTAGGTGGCCCTGTTGTCAGCCTGTCGATGCTTTGGGGTTATTTTTAACTCGAATATGCAGTTGAAGCCCAATATCTTAATCCTGGCTCTGGAGGGGGAGCGTTGCAGAGGGAAAAGCTGCTCCATGCCCAGGACTGGCAGCAGGTATCGCCTCCTTTCCAGGGAAGCATCCTATTCAAGGAGAGTTAGAGGAAGTAACCGTCCCGTCTAGGAGCAGGGATTCAAAGTTACAGGTCAAGGGGCGGTATTTAAACTGAGAACAACCTAATTTTTCCCAACATGGAAAAACTGGGCCTGGGCTGGGGGTGTCCGCGGGCCTTCGACACCACCGCATCCCCTGGACGGTGGGAAACCAGCAGCCCCCGCGTTAGGAGCTCTCGCTCCGTCAGTCCCTCTGCTTTGGGCACGAACGCGCTAAAACCGAGGGCTCGGGCCCCTCTAAGGCTTCTCCCTCTCCCTGCAGCTCCGCGCGCGGGGGGCGGCACCGCCGTCTCCTCAGCGCCTCCTG